TGAACAAGTTGATTTTTCTCCATTGTACTGTGACTTTCTTTCCGTGCCTCCAGATTTCTCTGAAATTGAATCGCTGGCTCATCAAGAGGCCATAACTCAGACAATGGCCATCCCTGAAAAAGAGATTGTTTTTTAAGCTCAGCATGACAGCTCAAAATTACCCACACATCCCATTCTGGGTATAAAATGTTTTCCAGCTCAGCAAATGACTCCAGAGCCTCTGAACAATGCTGTAATTCAGCCTCCAACATATGAGATGATAGTTGCAGAACCAGGCCATCAAGCTGAGTATCTAAAATCAACTGGTGTCTCAGTTCATCCTTTGGATCTGGCAATCACTGTAACTTCAAAACTTATTCCAGAGGCTAAGCATTCCAGAGGCTAACTTATTCCAGAGACTCACTATCCTACAACATCACCCACCGTTACACGTCAGGCTATAGAACTGGACGTCACCATAACTCCAGAACCTACTCCAGAGGCTCACCATCCTGCAACATCATCCACTGTAACACGTCAGCTATGGACGTGGAACTCACCATAACTCCAGAACCTGCTCCAGAGACCCACCATCCTACAACATCATCCACTGTTACACATCAGCCTTTGGACCTTGAACTCACCATAGCTCCAGAATTTTTTCAGAGATTCACCATCCTACAACATCATCAACTGTTACATGTCAGTCTTTGGACCTGGAACTCACCATAACTCCAGAACCTATTCCAGAGACTCACCATCCTATAACATCTTCCACTGTTACATGTCAGCCTTTGGACCTGGAACTCACTATAACTCCAAAACTTACTCCAGAGACTCACTGTCCTACATCATCTTCCACTGTTACATGTCAGCCTTTGGACCTGGAACTCACTATAACTCCAAAACTTACTCCAGAGACTCACCGTCCTACATCATCTTCCACTGTTACATGTCAGCCTTTGGACCTGGAACTTAATATAAATTCAGAATTTATTCCCGAGACTCACCATCCTACAATATCACACAGCATTATACGTCAGCCTTTGGATCGGGAACTCACCATAACTCCAGAACCTACTCCAGAGACTCATCATCCTACATCACACAGTATTACATGTCAGACTTTGGACCTGGAACTCAACATAACTCCAGAACCTATTCTAGAAATTCACCATCTTACATCATCATCCACTCTTACACATCAGCCTTTGGACCTGGAACTCACCGGCTCACCATTCTACAACCCCAAAGACGCCAGCTCCTCTTCCAAAGCACCCTCACTGGAACTTCCATACCATGTTCATGTTCAGCATCCAACAATGTCATTTCAGCCTTTGGATCTGGAACTTACTGTAACTGGACCACCTACTACTAAGGGAGAACTGTCTCAGACTGTGCAAGAGACCACAGCACAGCTTGAAGAACCACCTACAGAAGTTGTAGCTCAGGCTTCACACTATCAGGAGGAGACATCTACAACACCAGCTCAGGGTCAACATGAGAATCCATCTTCACCCATTGTCTTATTTCAGCCTTTGGACCTGGAACTCACTGTAACCTCAGAGCCTACAAGAGAGGCACACCATTCTATAACCCCAAAGAAGACTCCAGCTCCTCTTCCAAGTACCCTTGGCTGGAACTTCCACACCATGTTCATGTTCAGCCCTTAACAACATCACCCAATGTTATAGTTCAGCCTTTGAACCTGAAACTCACTATAACTTCAGAGTCTACAAGGGAGGCTCACCATTCTACAGTCCCAAAGAAGACTCCAGCTACTCTTCCAAAGCACCCCCAGGTGGCACTTCCACACCACATTCATATTCAGCACCTAACAATATCACACAGTGTTACATTTCAGTCTTTGGACCCGGAGCTCACTATAGTCTCAGAGCCGACTAGAGCAGCTGCACATTCTACATCTCTGATGACGAGTACAGCTCCGCTTCCAAAGCAGGTGACACTTCCACCCCAAGTTCACATTGAGCATTCAAACCCAATCGAGGTCACAGTTAAACCTTTAAGATTTGAAACTTACCATAATTCCAGATTCCAATGAGGAGGTTGGACTTTTTCTAACCAGGCAGAATACCCCCACTCAACCTGTACAGCCACATGAGAGACTTGTAACCTAAGATCCAGTGTTTTATATTAAAAATATAAAGTCGCATAAGAATCAAATTCATCATCTGGGGACTCCCAGGATTCCAGTTCAGTATCAAGATGTAGGGCATTCTGAAACTCAGGTGCCCAGGATAGAGACTGAACTTCATGCAGTGCCAAGGAAGACTGTCGCTCCCCCTCCAAAGCACCCCAAAATGACACATCCACCTCTAGACCATTTTCATTCTCAGCATCCAAACCCACCTCAACCTACAAGTGAGCATTTCACATGGACTTTTCTGTAATTCAACAATCAGCTACAATGGCTAAACATTCTGCCCATATAAAGAAGACCCCAGTTCAGCCTACAGGGCTGCCTAAGGAAATTGTAGCTCAGTCTCTAGCACATGGGGTGAAGGTTCTAACATCAGTTCCAGATCAAGCTCGGTATCCAAAGTCACCAATGATAAAGGCTGCACATTTTAAAGTCCCAGAGACTGTATATCCTCATCCAAAGTACTCTGAGGTGACATTTCCACCTCCGGATGAGGTTCAGCCTCAGTATCTAAGCTCAACTGAAGTCACAGATCAACCTTTGACTCCAGAACTTACCATAACTCCATATTCTGAAAATTCGAATACAGAAAAATATTTGCCTGTGGAACAAAATGCCTCCATGACTACCAACATGTGTGCACTCTGTACCTGCCAAAATGGGACACTGTTGTGTATTGATCTCAGTCCAGCGCAGCGGCTCCTCCAAGTGCCTGTGCCAGAACCCAGCACCTACAATGGCACCTTCACCATCTTGTAAGTATCACTTTTTCTTCTTGCTGTTCTACATTCTGCCTGACATAGCGACCTTTTCCTCAACTCCCTACTGGGCCTTTCCCATCACCTGCATAGACTTACTTTCTGCTCTTACCTTTGCTTATCAACTTTTTCCTGTCCTCATTCTCTTTACTACCGTAGCCCTCGCCAATGTTTTATTTGTGATGAACTTTTCCTTTTTTTCATATCTTTTTATTTAGCACCATTATATCATTGTTTAACCTTTCCCCCACTCTATGACTCATTAGTGATGATTCAACAAAGTAGTTAGGGTAAACTTTGGAGCTGGACTCCCAGGGTGCATACTCAGATCTTTCAGGCAGTAACTCTGCAACCTTGGGAAAAGTATTTAGTTTTGAGTTAATTCCCTCACCTGTATAATGAGGATTATGATAGCTACTATTTCACAGGACTGTTATGAGATTTAGATACATGTAATATTTATCTCGGCACTAGCACATATATGAATGTTAGCTATCAATATTATGCAATATCTCAGTTATGTCCAGAACTCATCTTTGTTTTTGGTTTTCTATGTATTTGGATGCATTTTGTGTACTACTCGGGGCTAAGAAGTATGGGAGCCACTTACACATGGCATTGTCTCCAGAACATGAAAATGATCGATGAAAAGTAAAGAAACACTAAATTAAAACTAGCTGTGGCTCAAAGGGGACCTGTAATCTTTAAAATAAAGCCAGGAAATACAGTGTAGGCAAAGGCAGGGCTACAGCAACACCAAGGATTTAGTAGGCTAGTCTTCCAGGAAGGACTTGAATTAGAAAGCAATGAAAGGCATTATGAGATGCCCTGAATACTAAGTCCAGTGATTTGAAAGTCGCACAGTGAGATATGGAGAAACAGTATAAATTTCCAAGAAAGTCAGAAAAATGATTAAAATGGGAGGACGTGTGTGTTGGACAGGCTGGCCTTGAGTTCACAGTCATCCTGCTTCAGCCCCTCAAGTCCTAGAACTAAAAGCACGTGCCACCACACTCAGATCTAAGATGATTTTAGAATCTATGTATGGAGTGATCTAGAGGGGAAAGCTTGCTTTTGGAAACTATGTAGAAAGAGCAAGAAAAACTTAGGAATAAGATGAGTAAGGGCTGAGTCACTGTGACCAAGATGAGAATGGGAAGAAAAACCTCAATCCCTTGAGGAAGAGAAGACAGAGTTTAGTGACTGACTAAAGAGTTGGGGACTGGAGTGTGCCAAAAAGAGGAAGATGGAAGATGAATCCAATGCTTCTGTCCTTGATGAAGATGAGATGATGGTGGACCAGGTGGACACAGCAGTCAGGCAGGGGAGCAACCTGAGGAAGATTTCAGTGTTAGGTATTTTTATTGATGAGCATAAAAATCAGAAGGCTGGTGGTTGAGTGATGTCCACTAGGCAGGTGAGCAGACTTAGTTCTTCCCCGTCAACAAAGAAAAGCACTGACCAAAAAAGACTTTATTGAGACAGAATTAAAGGTAAAGGTTGAAAGTTATCCACAGAGTTGAAACTAAATATAAATAAGGTTTTTAACAGCTTCTCTTAAGATGTGCCATTCATGGATACACTCCCACTTAAAAAAAATCACGGAAGCACAGTGTGGCGGTATTTTCTGACAATCCCAGTACTTGGAAACCAAACAATGAGACAGCCTGGGCTATACATAGTGGGATCCTGTCTCAAAATCACCAAGAGCTTAAGAATGCAGCTCAGTGGTAGAGTACTTGATTAGCACTACAATGTCCTGGATTCCATTCCTAGCAATGAAAAAAAAAACAAATTTAGATAGAGGGTGCCTGGGGATGCATCTAATACATAGAAAGCCAAGAGCAAAGATGAGCAAAGATAGCAAGACTAGCCATATCACTAAGATCTGGGCTTAATTAAGAGACCCTGCCTCAATGAATAAAGTGGAAGGAGCGGTCAAGGGTGATTCCTGACATCAAACTCAGGCCTTTATAGTCACACACATGCACACACACACACACACACGTGTACATGCGCACATGTGTAGATACACATGCACAAATGTAAGGTTGGAAAAGAAGTGTTTGTAGGATGAACTATGAAATTCACCCCTCACAGCTTGTCACCCTTTTCTCTCTGCCCTACCACCCATAAGATAAACCATGCTTGCATTTTAGCATGTGTCCTTCCAATTTAATTGGTGTTTTTAAAATATTTTATTCTTTGACTGAGTTGTGTTTTCTCCCTGTGTGGCATGTCTCAGAGCTCTTTTCCATGTCAGCACTAATTTCTAATTGTGGAACTAATTCCACATCCTTCCATTACCTGGAGATGTTTCAGCAGAGCACTTAGGCAAAGCTTTGGTGTTACCTGTCACAGGGTTTCTTAATGGCTAATAATGACAAGTATTTACTCATTTTTCCTTTTGAATTATTGATCATTTTCTCACTGATTTGTAAAAGGATTTAAAAACACTTAGTAATTAACTGGCATCTTTATCCAAGGAATGGACAGCTGGAAAGTTAAAATTATGAGGAAATGCCTCACTGTTTGTGCCAGTGGCCTAACACTGTTTATTCACTGTGCATAACTGACTGACAAACTCTGAAAATCAGAAAGTCAGTAGTTTCTGTTTTCTGCATTTGAATACTCCGAAGGAGGTTTCAATGGTTCTTTTATGGGTTCTGCACATTTTTTGAACTTATTCAAGTATATGAACCATATTTCTTACAGAAATTTCCAAGGAAATGATATTTCTTATATTGACAAAAAGGTATGGAAAGCACATCAATGGACTGAGAAACTGTGAGTATATTTTCTTCAAATATGAATACATTTAACTACATTAAAGTCCTTCTTTGCCCATATTTTGAGGTCAATATAGGAGAAAAGGTGTTTCCTCCCTGTAACCCACTGTATTTCTGTAGAATAGATATCTGGAAATAGAATTTTTAGGGTAGAGATATAATATCTAAACTGGGTGGGGTCACAATCCTAGTTACTAAAGAGTCTGAGGCAAGAAGAGCCAAGTTCAAAGCCAGCCTGGGCACGTTTGTGAGACCACATCTTCCAGCCCTAAACTTTTACTGAGGCCTGGGCAGTTGGCTGTCCTAAGTAGATTTCCTGTGTTCATACTGTGACATGTTCTGAGCTGCCATTAATCTTCTCTCTCTGTTATTTCCATTTCTCAGGTTTAAGTTTAGGTTTATATTTCTCTTTATTAATGGCACTCCAGTATTTGCTGAACCCTAGTTTATTTGGCTGGGTTGTGTGGTTGTGGACTGAAGATGGGCTGTCAGTCTTCTCTAACCAAAAGCAATCTCTTCTTCTTTGGAAGTTGATGCAGCTATAAGGAACCCAGAAGGAGAATTCATGAAGGTGTTACAGGCCAGGAAGGGGAACACCAGCACTGAGCTCACTATTGAAACGGAAAGGGGATATTCAGAAAAGGATGGTGGCACTTACTTGGGTTTCATGAATGAACAGCTCGACTTTAACGATAAAAGTGATGTCCTTAGTGCACTAAATTACATATTGCCATATTTCTCAGGGGGAAATCAGGAAGATGTACTGTCAACACTGTTACCATTCATTAAACTGCTTTTTTCTAACGTACAAGACAGTTCTCTGGGAATGGTGAAAAGTGATACAAAGAGTGCTCTTAAATACGAATCCAATTCCAGTAACTTGAATTACAAAAATAAGTTGAATAAGCTTTATTTTCTAGAAAATTTGTTAGATGCGGAAACTGATGAGGTTAGAAAGGAGAAAACTGTCATGCTTATGCAGCAGTCTAGCTGCTTAGGGTTCAAAATTAAACAACACATATTTGAAAAAAGATGGGAACCTGCCCAGGCAGGGGACACAGTCTTGCAGAGATTGAGAATGAAAAGAGAAGGTTCGCAGGATGAACAGTCCTCGGGGGACCAGGAAGCCTATGGAAAAGGCACTTCAAGGAAGGAAGCAAAAAGAGCCTGAGGAGCAATCAGAGGAAGCAGCAGAGGAGGAGGAATGCTCCAGAACTCTCACCTGTAAGGGAATAGAAGGCTACAATGACAGGCCTCCAGAGCAGTTGCCCTCCAGGCTGCATATAAACTAGAGTATGAGAGTCCTCATCTCTAACAATTCCCAGACAATGCTAATTATGCTGTTGGAGGGTGGGGGCAAACACTGTGAACCAGCTCCACAGAGCATAGACAGGCTCTTCCTCCTGCAATCCAGAATAAAATTTAGCATACAATAGAGGAAATCTGAGAACATTATCTTCAAACTATGCCTTGAATTCTGACTGGCATCAGCTACGATACGTGTGAAGTTTGGAATCTCAGGCCCCACTCCATGTAGAAAATTTTTATCTCGGGTTTTCTCAAAATCTTCAAGTGATTCATTCATGTGCTTGCTGAAGTTGGAAACGCTGTCTTCAAACACTCCCTAAAATTGTGTGTAGACAAGCAAAACCACCAGGGACAGCCTAAGCTTAGAGACCCTGTCTCAGAAAAAAGTTCTGTTAAAGGCAGACTACATGTATGGAACCCCCAAAGAAGCTAAGTAATCTGTATTTTTATCCTTCTCCCCAGATAATTCTGACATTTAGTCAAAGTTTGAAAACCGCTCTAACGAAATTGGGCATTTCCCCTACTAAGCAGAAAGGAGAGCCTTCCAGGAAACTCAAGCAGGAAAAGTAAAAGGCAGCCGGAGGTGTAATTAGAATAGGACTGATGCAAGGTGGAAACTTAGACATTAAACAAGCAAAAAGGAAAGAAGGAAAGTGCCCCCAACAAACGGCCAAAGAATTTTCAGCACGTTAGATTAAGGCAGAGAATTCAGAACTGTAAAAGCAGGCACTGTGAATAGGGTATAGTCTTAACGGAGGGAAAATGTGGGTATATAGGTACAGACACTTTAAATGACTTCCCAGTTCTTGGACCAAGCTTTCTATTTCAAATTATGCAACAGAAGAGACTGTTTACAAGGGTGTTCCTCTACACTCCAAATAAACTGACTCAAAACCTCAAAACGTGTTTGCCACAGTGAGTCTCCTACCTGGCTGAGTTCTAGAAATATGTACAGATACCACAATCTTCATTTAATTTCTCATAATTTAATTTCAAAAACTTGCCCTCGCAAAGAAGTCAAGTTCGGTTCCTAGCACCCTCATGGTGGCTAACAACTATCCATAATTCCAATTCCAGGGCATCTAATGTCTTCTTCTGGCCCCCTCGGGCACTGCACGCACACGGGTGTATCTATATACATTCAGCCAAAACATTCATACATACACACAAAAATACAAATAACAAGCCAAAGCCCCACACAAACCAAAAAAACCTTGTCTTACATTGTAAACAGGTACTACTTTACTTTTCTCGAGTTTTGAGAAACCTCAAACATTTCTCAGGTTCCACTTAAATGTCACCTCCTTGATCTTGTACCATGCTCCCTGGTGCTGTGCTTCTGACAGTGTGCCCTCCTTGATAACTGGCTTAGTGGTTCTGGCACATGTGTTTAGTCCTTTGGTAAATAGATCATGACTTTACTATTACAGTAACTTAATATCTGCTTAGGTAGTGAGAGCATAGAGATAGATCCAGGAGTAAAGTCATGCCAACATTAAATCTTAAGTTGTTGGTTTTCCAGTATTGACACACAAATTTTTGTTTTATTATTTTTCTTCTATTTTCTTTTTCTAATTTTTAAATTATTTTTTATGTATATGAGTGTTATGTTTGCATGTGTGTGTGTCATGCAGTGCCCAAGGAGGACAGAAGAGGACATCAGATCCTCTGGAATTGGCATTATGGACTGTTGTTATTCACCACGTGGGTGCTGGGATCTGAACCTGGGTCTTCTGCAAGAACAGCCAGTGCTCTTAACTGCTGAGCCATCTCTTCAACCCCATTTTATTATTTTGGTAAAGAACCTTTGCACAGTCTTTTCAGACTTCTAGACATCATAAAAATAGTATGTCATTTCAGAGGAAGAAATTATAGTATGTTCCCCACTAACTAACTGACATCTCACAGAGGAGACCTGTCAGCATTGGTAAAGCAGTGAGGCAGCCTCATTCCCAGCACAATACTCCATGTTAATACAATCTAATTTTTTTTTTGGTCTTTTTGAGACAGGGTCTCCCTGTAGCCCCAGCTGACCTGGAACTTGCTATGTAGCCCAGCCTGGCCTCCAACTTAGAGATCCGCCTGCCTCTGCCTCCCAAGTGCTGGGATTAAAGGCGTGTGCCACCACACCCTGCCTACAATCTAATTTTTTAAACAATATTTTATCATTTACTTATTTACTTATTTATTTATTTATTTTATATAAGTGCTTTGCCTGCATGTATTTAAGTGCACCATGTGTATAAAGTGCCTGGGGAGACAAGAAGAGGACATTGGATCCCCTGGAACTGCAGTTAGCTGCCATGTGTGTGCTGGGAACCAAACTCAGGCTCTTAACCACTGAGCCACATCTCCAGTCCCTATTTATTTATTTTTGTGTATGAGTGTTTTACCTGCATGTATGTAAGTGTACCATGTGCATGTAATGCCTGCAGTGCGGAAGGCATCAGGTCACCTGGAACTGGATTTAGGGAACAGCTGTTAGCCACCATGTAGGTGCTGGGAATCAAACCCTGGTCCCCTGCAAGAGCAACCAGTGTTCTTTAACTGTTGAGCCATCTCTCCAGTCCCTAAAATCTAATTCTTTTATGTTTTTGTTTCTTTTTAAAATATATTTATTATTTTTATTTTATGTGTGTAAGTGTATTGCTTGAATATATGTAAGAAGAGGTCATCAAATCCCCTGGAACTGGAGTTACGGACAGTTGTTAGCTACCATGTGGGTTCTGGGAACTGAACCCTGGGTCCTCTGCAAGAGCAACCAATGCTCTTAATCATTGAGCTATCACTCCAGCCCCCAAAATCTAATTCTTTAACCTACTGTTACATGTATAAGCCATCAATCATGTAATAAAAAAAAACCTGTGATATACTTAATAGTCATCTTTATTTTTATTTTTGTCATTTTTATTTTATGTGTATGAGTGTTATGCCTGCATGTAGGTAAGTGTGCCTGTGTTGTGCAATACCTGTGGAGGACAGAAGAGGCTGTGGGATTCCCTGGAACTGGAGTTATGGACAGTTGTTAGCTGCCATGTGGGTGCTGGGATTTGAACCCCGGTCTTCTAAAAGAACAGTCAGTCTTCTTAACCGCTGAGCCATTTCTCCAGCCCCAATAGTCATCTTTTAAAAATTATGAAACACAATGCCCAAACTACCAAGGACTCACCATTTGATCTGGAACATTGTCCCAATAGAGCATAAAGCTATCAATTTAAAGGCTGTGCTCAAATAATACATTCCATCTGCCCCATTCCCTGTCCTTTCATGAATAATATTTTTTAAAAGTAGCTAGGGGATAGGGGTGGGGAGCAGAGGCAGGTGGATCTCTTTGAGTTCCACGTCAGCCAGGGTACATAATGAGACCCTGTCTCAAAACTACAAAATATTCCAGCACTCAGGAGGCAAAGGCAGGCAGATGTCTGTAAGTAGAGGCCAGCCTGGTGTACATAGCAAGTTCTAGGCCAGCTGGGGCTACAGGGAGACCCTGTCTCAGAACAAACAAAAAACAAAAAAAATTAAAAAATTAAAGTCCAGCAGCAAGCTTTAATAGTGCTTTCAGGGTACTAGGAATTGTGTTGGGCACTTTTAAATGCATTCTATCCAGTCAACAAATGCATATAGCCATTTAAAGATATTCACTGAAGGCCGGGTGTGGTAGTGCACACCTTTAATCCCAGCCCAAGGGAAAGAGAGGCAGGCAAAGCTCTGTGAGTTCAAGGCCAGCCTGGTCTACATTGTGAGTTCCAAGCCAGCTGGGGCTACCTAAAAAATAAATAAATAAATAAATAAATAAATAAATTAAAAACAAAAACAAACAAAAACCAAAGATATTCATTGAGGCTAAATACTTTATCCAAGGTAACTGCCTGTACAACAGAGTTACTGCTAAAACCCAAGCCCATCTATCTTCTCCTGAATTTATGCTCTTTACTAACATAGTAAAGTTCTAACTCCAGTGTCAAAAACCATCCACCTGCCCGGCGTGGTGGCCCATGCCTTTAATCCCAGCACTTGGGAGGCAGAGGCAGGCAGATCTCTGTGAGATCAAGGAAGCCTGGTTTATCTAGTGAGTTCCAGGACAGCTGGGGCCTCAGGGATACAAGGAAACCCTGTCTCAAAAAAAGAGGACCAAACAAACAAACAAAAAACAAAAAAAAAAAACACCCTCCTGAGCTGACCTGTCAATGAATGTGTCTTTGAGAAATAACCCATGCCCTTGTGCACTTAGGAGAAATAGC